GATCAAGAGCTGTGTTTGGGTACCACAGCAACCTTACTGTGTTCTTCCAGGTCATAAAGAAAAATAAGCTTCATAATGAGAGGTAGAGTGAGTTGGTAAAAAGTTTAAATCTGTGATTGTCATGTGTCTGATCTGGTCCAGGAGAGCATGGCTTTACCATTCGCAATCATTTGCACAAAGAAAACAAAGAAAGGGCAAATGATACAGTACTGTACCTCCATGGTCTGAGACTGGTGCATGGCTTTGATTGCATTCTGTGCCATTGCCCTTGTAGAAAATGTGACAAACGCACAGCCTGTGGGAACAAGGGGACAGGGAGCAGGAAAGACAAAAAACAACAAGACAAAAGGGTTGGACGCTTGTTAAACCAACACAGTCTACGAGAACGGCCACAAGACGACACTGTTCTCAGTAGTACATAAAAATAAACAACTTCTCTAGTTTATTTATCGACAGTGCTGACTTGCTAATCTGACCATAGATGAAAGAAAAAAAATTAGGTGGGGATGGGTGAGAAGAAAGGGTTTTTTCATTTTTTAAAAAAATTTTTAAATTTTATCTTATTTTATTTAATTTATTTTTGTTCTTTAGCCACAGGGTTTAAAATAAGTAAGACTTTTATGTAGACTTTGGTTTGCATAGTTTGGTCTATTCAGACCATGCATTAACAATTGCTTGCTAGGGCTTTTGTGCAGGTAAATTCTGGATACTAAATAAATGACTGGCATCACTGGCAGTTGAACTGGGAATTTAAAGAAGCCCATGAAGTCATATATTTCAGTGATGCACCAAGAACAACCATACAAGTAAGGATGAAGAAAGACTCCACTGTGTACCCTCTGACTAAGTGTGAAAAGACTCAGACAAAATTCAGTAATGTAGGTGGAATTTCAACATTTAAGAAAATAACATACTAAAAATAAAACTGTTTATGATTTTTATTTCTCCGAGTCCTAAGTACAATTATTTGATCTATGAAAGCTACCAACAACTCAAACAATTCTGAAGCTATATGCATGAATACCTAAACAACCACTTTTCTCCTTTCTCAGCCTTTTAAATTGTAATGAAAAGCCAGTAGGCTAATGCTTGGGTTATTTTTCCACCCTTTTACTATTATCAGTCATCCCTACTCTGGGCATGGTACTGGTCAACTTTTTCAGTGCATGACTCACTGCCCTTTTGACTAATAAAAACATTGCCTTCTGAGATTTACATTTTATTCTTCATGCACCCTTGGGTATCTTAAAGAAAAAGACTGTGAAATTAATGCAGATTCAGGCTGATTTTGTAATAATACCATGGCACACTAAAAGCTTAGCTAAAGCAACACAGACTTATTTCACTTGTGATCTCTAATGACTTTAAAAGTGCATTGATTTTCAGCTCCCTTAGCCTTGCACAGTTTGAACTTAGGTTTCAGAGAATAATTTAGTGTTCCACTCAATTTCCTCAAAACATTATTATTATTACTACTTAAAAGATTTCCAAATGAAGCAAATCTAAGCACTGAGAGGCTAAAGCATATTGTCATTTTGGAGCTAATGCATGAGAGCTACATTCTGGCATAAAAAATACAATATTGTTGCCCCTGTGGCCAATGGGCAAAATAAACCATTTTGCAATCCAACAAGCAGCAGATTGTTTGGTTTATGCAAATCAATTTGAGGCACAAAATACCTTTTCTTTTTGTTCTGCATGTACCTGGTAAGATTATCAAGTCAAGACTGTATTCACATTTTAATCAAACAACAGTAAGAGAAAGCAATGCCTGATCATTACCCAAAAGCACTACATCTACTCATGAAAATAAAGTCAATGCATTTTTGCATCATGCGGTATTTTTTTTCTTCTCTTTAATGTAAAGGCCCTTGATCCAAGAGAACCTAATCTGACTGATGTACCTCTGACTGATAAGTGAGCATGATAAAATCAGAAGTCTGAATTCTTTTATGCAAGCTTCATGGCACTGTTATGACTACATATTTCTCAGGTAACATAACAGCTGATGATGTCTTACTGCTGTTTCGCCACGCTATGCATTGCTATACTATTCTTATTCAGCAACAAATTTCTGTCAGAGAAAATGATGTAACACAACAGCTGTCTGTACAGCAATCTAGACAAAATGTGCAGTAGAAGGGTAAATAAACTACAGTACCTCTGCTAGTTTCCATATTGCTGCTGTGCACTAAAATTAAAGAGGCTCAAATTTACCATCAGTCTCAAAGTAATCGCTTTAAAAAACATTTCTGTTATTATCATTAACAGAGGAAATAACACCAAGCTTTTTCATTTATTGTCCTGCAAATTCAATGGGGGATGAGCACAAATAGAGATACACTGGAGGGCAGGCAAGAAACCCCATACAGAGCTTTGAATAATATTGTTTATAATGGTCAAGAAACTGCTTCATTCACTTCTTTCCCTCTCATTATCCAGGAGTGTGTACCATAGTGACAATTACTGAATGGAGGTTTAGAATGCATCAGAAGCATGTAAAATGTCAACAAATATCAATAAGACACAGTTTATGCATTTATCACAATTTCTACCCAGCAGTACTGCTGTAAGTAACTTACTGAGAGATGTTGCAATTAGCAGGTCTCAAAAGACATGTGAATCAGCAAAGAAATAAAGCTGTGCTCCTCTCAAGATAAAGCAGGCTCTCTCTTCCCTCCCTTAAGCTTTTTCTCTTTTAAACCACAAAGCTCAGCTGTTGGGGACTCTCAGTGCCCAACGCTGCCACAAAACCTCCTGCCTCGTTCCTCAGCCCAAATCATTCCGCGTGGATCCCGTTGCCTTTGTTCTGGAGTGAAAAGACCTTGGTAGCAGATCTCTGTAAAGTGCCATATAGCGAGCTCCCAATTTAAAAGAAACTTGTTCTCTGGGCAAGGGGAATGCCTGATGAATGAGGTTATGCAGCTTGAATATGTGCATTCAGAAACAGCATTCCACTGAGAAGACGGGACTGCATTTTAATTACAGTTTGCCAGCCAGAGGCTACAAGGTTAGGTCCCCTTGTTATCTCCAGTCAGCAGGCCACTTCCCCCCAATGGACAGTGGCCGTTTGCACAGTAAATATCCTACTTGCCTCAACAACCAAGGTAAAAATTCAGTACACAATCTTCTAAATTATTTGAAAACCCAGACCTTCAGTTGGTAGCATCAAGCACCCCAATTAAATGCTAGCTAATTTAAATGGACATTGCTACATCTGCTCACATTCAAGGGTTAGTTTTTCAGCTACCAAACCTGGACACTTGCAAAATACGCAAATTTATTAAGTGTACACATATATTCTTTTATGTGTGAACCATGGGATCCTTTCCTTCCTGACCAGACTGCCACAGTGGAGGGGAGCTAAGCTTCTATCATAGGATTCAGTCCACTTAACTCAGTCACTGAACTTTCATTCATTTAACATTCATTTAACATCCAATCAGTGAAGTTGCAGATATAATGCAAGTATTGAGAAAAGCTCTTCTGAGATGCTTAGGCTCTGCCATAGTTGATGGCAGTGCCTTTAATTTTCTATGTGGGGTACCTATGCACTCTAGGAAGCTGGTTTTGTTGGGCACCTAGGATCTAATCAGAAGCCCATGTTTAAATACACTGGATTTCACTCATTTAAGCCAGATGAGCTTTGCCTGAACCATCCTGTACTCTTTCTGCAGTAGCTTCTGAGGGGCTGGGAAAACCAGTTTCAGCACACTTACTCACTGTATCTCATGGACAGAGGTGGTCTTTTGGGAACATACTGCTAGCTTTAGGACCGTAAATCACAATTACAAGAGGACAAGACTAATCAGATTTCATGCCTCGTGGTGCAAGGAAACAAGAAAAATTTCAACAGCCTTTTACCCCATCCTATGAAACACTGCATTGATTGTAGTGCCGTGGGCTGAGATCTTCTAGACCAACAGCTACAAGCAAATTACTACTGTTTTATCATACTGAGTCCTGATGCTCAATTATTCCCTTCTTACTGGAGCTATGGAGCTCTCTGGGAGAGAAAACATGAAGATGGTGATATTTCTAGCTAATTCCTTGAAATGACTTTGTTTTGTACCACCAGCCAGCTAACCACAAAAAAAAAAAAAAAAAAAAAAAAAGAAGATAGTTTTGTAAATATGGCCAAACTGCAAGTGACCTTGCAATTATTTATCACCCCTACTTTCAAAATGTCAGGGGTCACTAACAAGAACGAAAGGGGAGGCAGAAAGGAGGTCTAAGTTTTAGTTGCTTCTCCAAGGCTACCTTCTCACCCTGTACACCAGAGAAATAACTGACAGGGAAAAGGCTTCTCAAAGTAATTTTCTCTTCCAGACAGAATGACAGGGTGGCACCTAGCCCTGCTGCAGAGGAGATTTTGGAGTACATTATCACATTTGCCATCTCTGCTGAAAGAACATCTAAACTCATGGGATTGGTCCTTACCCCCCTCCTGAACTGAAAGAGAGTTTTGAAGAGGTTGTAAAATCAGAAAAGCTTCTTCCTCAACCCGTGCTGTCCCAAACCTAGGGCTCAATGCTCAAGTGATTGAATTATTGCAAATATTTAAAAAAGCTTAGCACTGCTCCATTTCATCTGCTTCACTTGATTCTTCTCATCTCAAACCGAATGTTTGAAACATTCAGTCAGCAGTTCACACACAGTCAAACACAACATCAGTACTTGTGAGCTGCAAGTGAAGTAGAACGTTTTTAAATATGGAGGCCTCAAGGTAAGGGGTCTGATTTCATACCTACATAAGAAACCTCCCACATAAAACTAGTGTGGTCTACCAGAGGTTTCAAAGCCCCCAAACCCTCAATGACACCAAGAGGAGATGCAAAACCCCTAGACACTTTTGAATTGAGCCTAAAGTTAAAAATGGAAGTTTAAAAACCATGGCTTTAAAGTTCTGGAGATGAAAGACAGGCAGATGTAATCAATAAATAAAAAAACCATACATAGGGACCCTGCTGACACAGAAGAAGGCTCCAGAGATTTTCAAAGTCATCCGAGCAATCACAGTACTACGTATGGTGGCTGCACAGCAGGTGATGTAATGGTTGCACTACAGCTTCCTAGTTCACCATAAACAAGGTTTTTCTTGACTTTCTGTGAAGAAACAATACTGAAAAGCTGCCAAAATACTCCTGCAAGAAGCATCTGGGATCCTCTGAGATGAAAGCCTCTATTTAAAGAAAAGATAAGGTTCAAATAAAAAGCTATGGAAATTGATAAAAATAAGCTCCAGTTGTGTTAAAATATTTCTATCTGAGATTGCAAAGTAGACTTCCCTTTTCT